GCTAAAAATGACAGATTTTCTTTTCTGGATCTCTGACAGACGGACTTCAATCTCTGAACTCGTAAAGTTCTGGAATTTACGCAGCTCGTTTACACACTTTTCCTGAAGATAGAAGAGTTTGTTGAATCTGACGTGACATGTTCGTACGAACCCTTTGTACGAACAAAAGTAAGAGAAATTTAGGAGAAGAATACGAACATGTTCTTGCATGAGGCCCATTGTAACAAATATAGCAATCACAGGGTTAATCTTTGTAGGTCATTAAGTAAAGAAAAACAGCAGAATTTTACATTATCTGTGCTTTTGGAGGATAAATCTGCCAGAATATTCAGTAAGATGATTTTAGTTTTGAAGTCAACAGGTTTATTTAGTTTCCCCCKCTTCCTTCTTGCCTGCCTTCTCCAGTTCCACCCTCCAGTCTAGTAGTGGCGGTAATGCAGGTCTGCCAACCGCCATTAAAACAAAAGAAGAAGAAGATAAACTTCCGGTGTCAAACGGAAATAGCATGGAGACTCTTGGCTGCTAGCTAACTGAAGCTAAACACATTGTAATGTCTACAACCTCCAAAGTGGTTCTGGGAGTGTCTGTGGTTCTGACTCTGAGTACTGTGGCTGGGGTCCACCTCAAGCAGTCCTGGGAACGAGAGGTAAGTGCGTCCGAACCGAACCGAGCTCAGCCGGTCCAGTACGGACTTAGCTCAAATTGGTTAGCTTTCGGATGCTAAGGTCAAATCTTGMAGTTATTCTTTGACTTTATTTGAGTTCTTTAAGGTTTTAAAACAAACTTACAAAGAGAAACAAACCGTGAGAGACTTGTTGATTTATTCTTTATTTTCTATTAGTTTTTACATTTCAGGACATAAAATAAAATAAATGTTTTATTTCAATGGTTTTTAGACAAATCTGACGTTTAATCAAATCAGATTAATTTGTTAAACAAAAATAATTTATTTTAAATTGAAATTAATTTAGTTTAATCATCAACCAGGAGTTCTGACAGGTTCTGCTTGGTTCTGTTCAGGTATGATGGTGGGTTTCAGAACATGTTAGCTCCAAACTCTCAGAGGATCTAGACCGGTCCAGACCGGTCCAGGTGTTCTGGATGATCTGGACCGGTCCAGGTGTTCTGGGTGCTTCAGACCTCACTGATGCTCTGACATCTCTGCAGCGTCTCCGTCAGGGCGTGGTTCGGGACCTGGAGCGGTTGGAGAGGAAGAAGCAGAACCTGAGGCTGCTGCAGGAACAYAGGGTTCTGACCCGACACCTGGAGGAACAGAGGCGGCGCAGAGAGGCTGAGCCCCACCCACAAGACAACTGAGGCAGGTAAAGTCTTTAATGTCGGCTCAGAACCGCTCTGATCCTCTAATGGACCATATGAAGCTTTTAAAGCTCTATCATGTAAAGTCGGTGTCACCTGACCTCAGGTGAGCGGTGCACCTGAGGACCAGCCATGGACAGCAGCGGCGAGCAGCTGGCGGCGGCGGAGGACGAGGCGGCGTGCACGTCGGCCTCTGAGGGACTGGAGGAGGGCGAGGTGGAGGGGGAGACCCTGCTGATGGTGGAGTCAGAGGACCAGGTCTCTGTGGACCTGTCCCACGAGCAGAGCGGAGACTCCCTGACCAGCGACGTGGGCGAGGACACGGACGGAGGCTGGGCCTGCGAGGACATGTCCTTCTACTGCGAGCGCTGCCACAAGTGGATCCCTGCAGGTCAGCCAATCAGAGCGCTGCGAGGACACGCCCTGACGAACAGCCAGACCTGTCCTCGGTCCGGGTTCTCAGGTCTGACCTGGTCCACCTCTGCTTTCAGCCCAGCTCCACGGGGACCAGCCCAGTTACCTGAAAGGAGACAACTTCTTTAAATTCACCTGCTTCACCTGCTCTGAGGACGGGAAGGAGAGCTTCGACAGGATGAGGCTCACCTGGCAGCAGGTACACACACACACACACACACACACACACATATACACACACATACACACAGACACACACACACACACACATACACACACACACACACATACACACACACATACATACACACACACACACA